TAAGTCTCCAGAGTATGTCTACACATGCAGGGTTCCCCAAAAGTTGCAGACGAGGTTAGGGGACGATGGTACGCCGCGACACCAGAAAACGTGTTACATTTGGTTTTTTGTCAAGTAGACTTTAATTAAGAGGGAGACAGGAAGCTCTAATTGGGTGTCAATTGGTTAAGAGTGACTATCTCAACCAAAGTGTATATAGAGGGGAGTACAATTTAAGAAAATTTGACGACACAAGAGGTGTCCTAATAAGAACATGACCTATAGGACGGGACCGAATAATTTTTGTTCGGACGGTGTTGACAGGGGGAGAGTGTGTCTCGCTACTACTCTCGTAATTAGAACTAAGGTTGAAAGAAAGACTGTAGTAAAACATAATACAGCAGACCTCACTAAGTTTATATATTTTATGTGACCACTGGATGTAGATCTCAACCGAGGACTAAGAGGTAACGGATAGAAATGTAAGGAAACAGACAAAAATTCCTGCCTAGAAGGCCTTTAGATCTTGAGTGGCATAACTTATAGAAAAACTTATGATAAGTACTTCAAATGAAATAATAAGTAATAATTCGTAAGTACTCCTCATTTCTTGTAGGTTTGTATGTCACTGTGTATTAGCCAACGTGTATGTTATACAATCACTAGAAAGACAAACTAGAAAAGTTACTGAGTTTCGAGTCTTTAGCACGTTGTGTTTACGTATGTAATTTATAGAATCTTCCTAATAAATAATTGTTTCTGACAAAACGGTTACAAAGGTGTCATAAGAATTTTTTGAGTTCTGTGGCCGTATATCATCTTTTTATATTCAAATAAAATCTTACTACGACAATATTTTTCTAGAATTTACGTCCCTAGTAAAATTGTCTCTTTCCTGTAAAAATAAAAAAAAACTAGAAATGATTGTTTGTATCTGTGAGGTTTTGTATATAATCCCTAGATTGACGAATCTGTGTGACGTGGAAATTTCGAAGGTCTCTGAATTTGGACTTGTCTAGAAACCGTTTTACAATGTGTCGTACCTTTACTTAGAGGACGTTACAGACAGATAAGTTAAAGTACACAGGGGAATCTACACATGTGTTGACACACGGTGTCTCGCAGTAGAAACACTTTGAATAAGTAATAGACTAAGTTGTACGTTCACTTTAAGAAGAAATTATTCTCCCGGTGACCACAGGGGTCCCAGTGTAACGAGAGGTCCGTGACATTTAACAAAAAAATCAAAATTCCATTTAGGTAAAAGATTTATAATAAAATCTGGTTACGACATGTTGTTGAACTTTATTTACCTACCTATTTACGTCACGGTGTTAACCAGGAGAATTAGTAGAGTAATAAACGATTATGAGACAATAGGACCGTCAAAGACAGTTATTATAGTGGTAATTCTTGTACCTCTTTTTCACCTCTCGACTGGGTAAAGGTTAGGTATTTATTCCAAAATCAAACATCTCGACGTCTAAGACGGTGTTTGACTTTATAAGTCATGGTTGAAAAAGGATATCAGTTGGGAGGAAAATAACAGAATACCACTCGAAACAATTTTAGGTTTACCCTGCCGATACGTCCAAAAAGACGACGACAGTAAATAAAACTGGTGCAAAGTGTAATGTGACTCTCTTTCTTGAATCTTAGAGGAAAGTGAGAGCGACTTTATTGAATAAAAAGCGAGAGGTAAAGTAGACAGACAGAAGAAGAAGACGATTGTCGGAAGAGAGACGAAGAAGGGTAAAATCACCCTTACGACCTATGTCGGTAAGGTTGATAGACAATACGATGGTAGCTTTAAGAAATAATAGAAGCGGCCCAATAAAACGTAGAGAAGAAGAGGGTGTAAGGTGTAGCGTCTTGGAGGCAAGTTTGTGAGTGTTGCAAGTCGAGCCAGCCCTTAGCTACCGATAATGACATTGTGTTGAAAATTAGACTAAGCATAAAATCTCTATAGTTTGTAATAAGTCTGGAACCATTTCTCGAGAAGAAGTCTAAAACGTCAACGCACCTAGTCTAAATTAAAACGGAAGTATAAAAGAAAATTTGGGTACGTATTAAGGGTCTTGGATGTAAAGGACTCTGTATTAGAAAGTACTGTTTGGCATACCTTTGGTAGACTAGAGCAGCGAATTTTTTTTATTTTTATTAATTCGTTTTTACGGAGAACCCGTACTTCACTGTGTTTGAAATTGTACAGAGGTAATTTGGGAACATGCAGTCGGAGTAGAAAGGGGTGGTGTCCTGGCAAATCAATTAAGACGGGTTTTTCTAGTGTAATAATTGAGGCTTAGTCATGTCTTTTCATGTGAAGTCTACGAGTTCAGGAACTGTCACGAAGGCGAAACTTTAAAGGTGGCTATAGACAATGCCAAGAAAGTTGTTTTGGAAGTGTACATTCCCAATATAGAAGAGTAAGTCTTTGTGCGTTTACGAGAGGAGAGTGACCTAATGACGTGTAGTCGGTACCTTTGGAAAGACTAGAGACCTGTGCAGCAATCGAGTTTATATTTGTGGACACAGTACCTGTGCTACTAACAGTATTGGAGGTTGATGTACGAGTCTCGTCCTTCTAAAGTCAATTACCAATTACCAGGCGGGAGTTTGTCGAGAAGCAGTTAATACCACAGTAGTATACGGCAAAGGTGCCTTGCGTAGGCGGCGGTATTTTAGTTCTACAGCGACATTGAGGTACTGTGCCAGGCTAGCAGGGAGTTCTTGAAGCGATAATATAGTCCCCAGGTACGGAGGTTGCGAAATGCGGTTTGCTCTAGAGTGAGTATCCAGACAACGGTAACTTGCGTTAGGGAGCGGTATTTGTGTGGCTACAGCAACAATCGAGGTTACCTGTGCCAGGCCACAGGTGTAAGAAGTGGACATATTAGGGAGAGGATACGAGAGTGCGAGATGCAGATTTAGACTGTAGAGTGGGTATACGGAAAAGGTACCTTGGTAGTAGGGAGCGGATTTGTGCTACAACAGCATTGCCGGATACTTTTCAAGTTATGCGTGGTCTGAAGTAGATTAACAATTGCCAGGTCGGGAGTTTGTCGATATGCAGTTAATACCCCACAGTAGTATACGGCAAAGGTACCTACGTAGGAGCGGTATTTATGCTGACTAGCGTTAGTGATGAGAGTAGCGTACTATAAAGTGTGTTTTGTGCTACATTGACGAGGATTTTTCGGAGTGTTATGTCACATCACGGCAACAAAAATAGAACTGTTTCTACGGGTTCGGGAATCTACTTACTGTAAGATGCCCAGGAGAACATCTTAAAGCTTACGTGAGAAACAACAATGACCGATATAGATGTGGAGTTCGTTACAGTGAACATAAATGATCGTGGTGAAGATGATGATTAAATTAGGATTAAAAATCGGTAGTGAGAGCTGCTGAATTTCCTCCCGTCGGATGTGATATAAAAACAAATTGATTATTTTTGTAAACTCAAGTGGATGAAATTTATTAGTGCTTTCATGTCAATTCGCCGAACATATGATACATTAAATGATCGTGAGGATGATGATTTAAAAATTGTTTGTTTGAGCCGGTCTGCATTTCCTGATCAGAAAACAAACCGATGCTTTTTGTAGTTGTAGTACACCAACATGGATTAAACGTGTGTTTTTTTTTACCACAATGTTGGGGAAATTAATGGATAAAATGCACGGATTATTATTATTATTATTCCCACTCCGATCGGGACACTAGGTCCACCGTTTCCCCGCAGCGAGGCTCCCCCCGTTGACAGTTTACGTGGGCTGGGCTGGGTGCAGTGGCGGACTGGCCATCGGGGGCCGGTACCGAAGTGGGCCGGTCGGATAAGTCACTAGCACATCCCCCACTCCCCCCGTTGACAATTTACTAGTTGTACCGAAGTGGTCCGGTCGAGAGTCCCGGGCTGATTTTTAGTCCCAGTCCACCACTGGCTACATGACCGTATGATCGCCCATATTGACGCACCTAATTCCTAAACTTCTAACAGATACAAAATAAACCGATCCTTCAGCCTCATATGAGCTCTCAGACACGTTCAAAATTAAACTGTCATCGCTGTCTGAGCTTGCTGCTGTGTGCGCCATCGTGCGTTTACATGCAGATGCTGGGATCCTGAACGGTGCAGCTGGAGCGCTGTGCCCGCATTGACGTCACCCATAATTTGGCGGGACTTGAAGAATCCCCGAGAAGATCCAGGAAATGGTCAACATTGAAGGGCAGATTAATGGTTATCAAAGTACAAATATCCAAAATCAGTTCAGTAACGGTTTTCAAGGGGACAATATTTACTCAAATTGATGGGTTTGGATGATGGGGGGAAATCGTGTCACAGGCTCTTTAAAGGGGCCCTATTCTGTTCATATTAGTATTTAGTTCCTCTACTGGGACATGTCTCCATGCTTTAATGTTCAAAAAGCTCTTTATTGTTCTCATACTGCCTGTGCTGCAGCACCTCTTTCACCCTTTGTCTGAAACCATAGCCCAGTCTGCTCTGATTGGTTAGCTGGCCGGCTCTGGTCCACCGCTAAGAGGTGTCCCACCCCTTAACCTATCACATACAATGTGCTTGCCAATCGAAGCGTGAGTGTTACATAGGGATGTCACTATGTTACATAATTAAAGAAAGGAGTCAAATGGAGGCGTTTTAGGCAGGGAGGGGGGGGGGGGGGGCTGTGTAGGAGTCAATTTAACGTGAAAGTGGAAGTAAAAGGTACGCTTACTCCTAGAAAAAGTGAAGTTACAGGGATATCAGTTAAGGCAATAAAAATAACTTCACTTTCACCTGAGAGCTCATTCTTGCGCCAGTCCAATAATACAACAGGACAATTAGAAGGGCTACAGAAAGTCAAGCATGAAAGTCTGAGCCTTGGGGCCCCCTTTATGCTTGAGCCCCTGTTAGCTCATGCAACAAATAGGGGTGGAGTCATTTTATCCTTTGCAATGTTTGTAGGATTTTAAACACGAAGTTGACATTTAATCTAAAGTTAGATTTCTCCCTCCTCCTCCAGCAGTGTGCATCCAGCTGGCCACTCCATCTTCCTGTCCTCTGATGCTCAGGGCCCCTCTCTGGGCTTCTGTCAGCCCCACACCCACATCATGTTCCTGAAGACCCACAAGACGGCCAGCAGCACGGTGCTCAACATGCTGTACCGCTTCGGGGACGAGCGCAACCTCCGCTTCGCCCTCCCACTGGGATACCAGTTCGGATACCCACTGCCTTTCAATGCTCATAGGGTCAAAGGTTACCGAGGCCCCAGAGCCATGGAGTTCCACATCCTGGGCCATCACATGAGATTTAATAAGCCTGAGGTGAGTCATTCATAAGAGCAGAGGGGGAAGTGAAATGACAAAGGGGATGATTATTATGGAATGTTCTGTAGTGGTTTGAATACATTGTTAGGAAAACTTAATAATCACTTTTTTTCACCCTTTGCTTATAACTAAACCATCAAACACACAAAAAGAGATTAAAAAATGAATTAAAAACATATTTTGTTTGAAATCAATGTGTATACATTTAAATTAAAAAAAATGTAAGAAGAAGAAGGAAACAATTGCAAAGTTTAAAAAAAAAACAATAAACAACAACACAAAGAATATATTTTAAGTATAAAAGAAAACAATAGCATAATAGTAGATGCCCTGATTGTACATTAGAATATCATTTTTCAAACCAGTTATCCTTTATTATTATGAATGATGCAATCCTACTCATGTTAGCTAGCAACCTAATAGCAAGAAATAAAGCTTGTTCTGATAAATGTGTTAGTTAAAATTAATAATACATCCATTACTTTATTTTATGCCCACGCCGATTAGCTAACATGCAGGAGATAATAGTTTTTCCCTGTTACTTTTTATATCTGTATAGATCTTTAAACAAGAAAGTGATGACAACTACACAAACACTCTCAGGACAAGCGAAAAAATAAATGTATCTTCTGTTGTAGCTTAAATTTAGTAAACTAATTGTACATATTTTAACACAAAATTCTCCTCTTCCTCAGGTGGAGAAGGTGATGCCTGCAGACACGTTCTACTTCTCCATCATCCGGGACCCGGCCGGTATGGCTGAGTCCTCCTTTGCCTACTACAAAGAGGTTGCACCTGCCTTTCGGAAAGCCAAGAGCTTGGGCGACTTTGCTGACAACCCCTACAGATATTACGACTCTCGGGTCCGCAACAACTACGCCCGAAATCTGCTGATGTTTGACTTCGGCATGGACAACAATGCTAACTTCTCATTGGCTGTGGCTCAGAAGGCAGAGACCATGATCCGCCAGACCTTCAATCTGATTCTAGTGTCGGAGTACTTTGACCAGTCCATGATCCTGCTGCGGCACGCCCTCTGCTGGCCACTGGAAACCGTTGTCTCTTTCAGCCTCAACGCTCGGCAGCAGAAGCCCAGCGACGTGGGGGGGCTGAGCGGGAGCTTCGTGAGCAAAGCAGCGGCAGCTGCAGGTATTGGGTTCAGAGGGGTACGCCCCCAAGCCAAGATACTGACCAATGTGACGGAGGCACAGCGGGAGAAGCTGCGGCAGTGGAACGCCTTCGACTTGTACTTATATAAAACCTTCAACCGGACCTTCTGGGAGGATATCAAAAGTTTCGGTTACGCCCAGATGGAGCAGGAAGTATCTCTTCTCAGGATGCTCCGGAAAGAAATGGCCCAGGTTTGTCTGAGGGACGGCGGGAAGCCTGTGGAGGCGCGCCGGATCCGAGACAAGAACATACGGCCGTTCCAGTTGGGATTGTTGGAGATTCTGGGATACGAGCTTCAGCCGGGCCTGGACAACGCCACCAGGACGGCCTGTCTGAGGATGATCAGACCCGAGCTGCAGTACAAGGACGTGCTGGATGCTAAACAGTTCCCCCGTGTGGCCCAGTCAGGGCAGCAGAACCCGGCTCTGCTGGCAGCCGGAGCCTCTCTGGTAAGACAAGACTCACCCAGGACAGGAGAGAGGCTGGCGGAGGGGAATGCTGGGGGGAGGACAGCAGAGTTGAGGGACTGGGACGGAAGCCGCTTAATGAGGAGGAACCAGACTTTAATACAAAAAGTAAGATTGACATGAGGTTTCAGGTGAGTCTCGTTCCGCAATACGGTACCTTTGGTCACTGAAAAAATGTACTGAAAGCTGAGCCGAGTGTGGTTTACACACGAGAAAACTAAAAGGAGGAGCTGTTTCAGCTTCCACTTTTTGGTTGTTTGCTTCGTTACTTAAAACCATTCTTTGCTTTTAGTCGGTGTAATCCTCGTGGCCCTTGACCTCTGAGAGCCTGGGATGCCCATGGCTGCAGTTACAAGTGGTAGAATGAACTTTGTTTTTATATAAGCAGACTCAAAGAAACTGTTGGCAGGGACTCTCTGCTTTGCTGACACACAGAAGCCTGTTTTAGTCCTCACTCCTTGTTCATATTTATACTTCTAAGAGGTACGATTTATTTTTTACTTTGTCCTTGGTGCACATGCTTGAAACTTCTCAATGTAAAGGTACAATAAGCCCCAGTATTTGCCTCTCATGCAGTGCCATAACACTGAGTCACTGAGCCTAGCACCTCCCCAAAAGATATATATTTTTAAGTTATTTAATATTTGAATACAAAATAAAGAATTTACTTGGAATATGGGTTGAAAAAAAAAATCTCGCTGAGGATGGAATGTTTTGTATTCAGTTGGTTTGAAGAGTCTTTCAATTCTAACAGTTTTTGAAGAAAAGCTGGGAATGTATTGCATTAGAAAAACACATGCTAAGCTCTGTGTCCCTAAAGCAATGGTAATACAAAAGAGGCTTACATTGGGGTATGTATACAACACATCTGTTTTTTATTTGAGGGTATGGTTTGTAAAGTCAGTCTTTGCTGGTACTGGTAATGGACACAAATAATGATGATTTATAACTTACTATTTCTCTCTTTGAAACAGTTTGTTCAGCTTCAGAGTCAGTATGGAGCCCTGTCTAGAACCACTAACTTGAACTGCTTCTTAAATATATTTTAATAATACAAGAGGGGAAAACGATCCGGTGCTTGATACTACCGCAAGCAGGCGGGTGGTTATTATCAGCGTTTGGGCACATTCCTTCGTTCCACTATCCTCTAAAGTATCCATCTGTCTCATATATGCAGAGACCATGAAGACCCATTTCCTTGTCATAATGTTTTACAAATGAATTGAATATCAGTGCAGGGGTAAACACATCCAAAAGCAGCTGCATGTTAAAGATTATTCATTATATTGCACAAGAGTGATCTCAACTCCCCCAGTATTCCTTCCAGATAAACTTTGAACGAGTTAGCAGGTATTTTGGGACTTTTCTATATTGTTTTGTCAGATGGAACACAGCAGACAACATAAAGCAGGAGCGTCTTGCTGCAAAGCTCCTGGCTCAACCCACCTTTTGGACCCATCTCCAACGCCATTAATCTGGCTACTTGTTAATACAAATGTTTTACATCAATTACATGTCACTGTTTTAAAGACCATTTCACAGTAAATGCTAATATTATTAATGTTGACTAGCAATACAATTCTATTAAAGCAGTCTTTTGTTATATCATGGGTATCCTTACTAAATAAATTAGCCTGCTAAGCCAATATTGTATTCATTTTATCCCTTGCCACAAAACAGCAACACAAGGTAAACAATACGAAGGTTATATTTCGATTTAATTCTAACTTCTAATGTTAAGGTACAAGAAGCAAATAACATGTGATATCCTTATGCGTTTGCTAACAATAGCTAATGTTAGCTAGCTATACTTATTTGTTAGGGAAATGCAAATGCTTAATAATCATTGTAGCTAACATTAGCCTTTGATTGATAACTCATAAGGCTAGTACGAGTTTGGCTGCTTAAAGGTGGGGTAGGTAATTTTGGAGAAACCAGCTCGAATGCGCTAGAATTTGAAAATACACAACCGGAAAAAATCTGCCACTTCCTTACAGAGCCCCTCCTCCAACACACACGAACCATAGACTGTATATATAAATGGAATTCCATGGAATATAACAAAAAGTGTATCTCAAGCCGGTTTCTCAAACTTACCATAGCCCACCTTTAAAGGTGGGGTATGTAATTTATTTCAGAAACACTTTTTGTTATATTCCATGGAATTCTCTTAACATCCCGATAGCAATGAATATATTAAATGCTTTGACAATAAATACATTAAAAAACGTCATCAGTGGAAGCCATAGCGCTGTAAAAAGCTCGACCAATCAATTATTTTAGCCGGCCCGGCTAAAATAACTGGATGGCCTAACTGCCTGTCAGCCTTCCATCTGTGCACAAACTTATCTTGTGCCCTCATTGGTCATGTGCGAGTTTGTGTGTGTTGGAGGAGGGGCTCTGTAAGGAAGTGGCAGATTTGTTCCGGTTGTGTATTTTCAAAATTCTAGTGCACTCGAGCTGGTTTCTCCAAAATGATCTACCCCACCTTTAAGGTTACGCTACCTAACTAGAAGTTACAGATATTTAAAATGTTAACTTTGTATTATTTATTTAAACTAGTGTAAACAATTTGCAGATGACACACACTGTTAGCTTGACACAGTAAAAGGTCTCAGGTGGAGGAGCTGGGCCTGAGCGTGGAGCTCTACAGCTAGACTCTTCTCACATAATATCACTATCTCAGGCATGAGTTACAGTTTGTCCCTATGTTCCTCCAAATAAACACCAGTCCTGCTTTATTTGGCTCTGAGTAAGGAGCTGGAACTCTTCATCGTCTTTGGAATGCAGCATGTTTACATTAACACTTTGTCAGACATGCAGCTTGTCACATGTTCAGTCACAGCCTAGTCCGGCATGGTACTTGCAGATATTTTGTCATTAACATGCTGCTGCATGAAGGATCAAATTGTACTACATGTACTATGTAACACAAACAACCTATCTCTGTCAGGGACAAATCACAGCAGACAGGTTCTCACTTGATGGTCTTATACATACCTACAGTATGATAACGGAGGAATAAAGCTCTGAAATGTGCATGTGTGAGCTCGCTGACATCGCCTGACTGGTTTTTGTAGACGGCTTTGTCAAGAGCTTCATTGTTAATCAGAAGCTGTTGAGAAAACAGTGACCCACATGGTTGCACTAAGTGACATGGTCCATGAACTTAGTTACTGTAGTTCATTATGAGAAAACTGCATATTGAATCTGGCAAGGAGTGTTCTGTGTTTACACTGCTGAAGGGAGTGGGCAGATCAGGAGAATAGATAGCGTTAACTTTGAATCAAGAGCAAATAGGGAGGTTTCTTACTGAAATATGTGCAAATAAAAAAACAGGGGGGAATTGGTCTTTGATAGAATCCTGTTTAGTTTACAGATTTTATTTAGATCATCACAAAGGACACTGGTCAGCCATTCTGCAGTACCTTTATTTATAACCTGGTTGTCTCGTGCTTTGGGGGGAAAGTAGAGCACAGACAGGAACACATTATAACGCACTTCATATTTGAGTTAAAATCCTGTCTGAGCACCTGCTAGCTGCTGTGGTCTGTGTCATAGCACTTCAAAGTGAGAACTCTGTCTGCTGTGGTTTCCTCTTTCTGCTGTCTGGCAATGCTACACAACACTCTTTCCTGTGAAGATAATAAACAACAACACATTGAAGCACCATGGTCTAATATTTTTGTTTTAAAGCCATGCAGTCAAGCCATTTGAGAATGATATTGAGAGATGAATATTTTTGCATGTATGAGGGTCTAATAAGGTCCAGGTGAATGAGGTCTGGTGTTGCGAAGGTGCAAATATGAGCCATGTTGTTTTTGATTTCACTTTAGCTGTTTTCAACATCACAATATTCAGTATTATTTATTCACATGTTGGCACTTTTCATAGTGAATACTAGTGTTGACGCTTATCTTGGTACAGATGATGCAGCTGAAATTACATTTGAGTGCTGATATCTGAAAATAATGCACACCCTTTGACCAATCAGAACTGAGTATTCTCCATGGCCATAGTATAAATGTAGTATTGTACAGATCATGTGTAAGAATCTACATGTGAAGGAATATATTTACAAAGCCCAAAGTGGAAATAGGGTAAAAAAATAGATAGGTGAAAAAAGGATAAAAACTTTTGCGTTCTCCTGAAAATCGACAACAAATATTCGTATTTCCAAGCTACAACTAGCTGTCATAGGGATAATAAATGATAAAAATAGTTAGAAATGCACATGTTTAACAGAAGAACGCAATGTTTTCATCTTTTTTTTTTCTCTACCCATCTATTTGTGTGTATGTAGGAGCTCTGATTTTGGGTCTCTTTAAAATGTCCAACATTGAACATTTGACTGATTGATGCTAACAAAAGTCTTTCCACAGCACAGTAGTGTGTATTCTCCATCCCGTGCACTGTGAATAGTGTCACCTTACAGCAGTCGTCCTTCTACGGGGATTGGGTGCACTGCATTGTGCTTCCTCCAGTGAAACGGAGATTGTTAATCAGCTTACAGTCTTAAGTTAAGATACTGAGTCAAAGGGATGAGAAAGTATTAACTTAGATTTAAAAGGGACATACCTGTGTTTATTTATGTTCCCTCCTTTCACGCAAACATTGACTTATAAGTATTTCACTATAATCTGAAACTGTAACTTCAGTTACATAACCCACTGTGTATCACAGTGCTACACGGCTATGTCCTGCAACCCTCAAATATTATTATTCTTGTTTATTTTAAACTCAAACATGAATATTTTTAACATCCAATCTTTTTAATGTGAAAGAACACCATTTTCTTTAGTGCAACCACCAGGACACACTCTATATGTTCGGCTCGTCAAGATGTCGGTCTAACGTTAATTTGCAGCATAATTTAATTGTGATGATACAAACAGGCCTCATGTGCTTGTATTACAATGAAGAACTGTACTAGTAGATGCTCGCTGTTCTGGGTCACCACTGTTTAATGAACACTAATGCACAAACAGATTTGTTTCATGCCTTAGGATGCAGTTATGATATTATTGACCCCGGCTTTTAAACAATGTCCTTCTGTATTTGCTTTTATTTCATTTGTACAGACAGTATTTATCGGTTGGTTAGGGACGACGACGAGGGGAAGGGTGTTTTTGTCACAGTATGATGGGATTTATTATTGATGTTATGAGAAAACATACATTCAGCTCATCTTCAATGTTCAGTCAGTGTTGAAACACTGATGACAAATTGCCACCATTAATTATGGCAGGGTCATAATTCAGTGTTACTAAGAAAACTTTGATTGTACGGTTATATCAAGCTGTTGTCTTTCAAAACGTCCACATTTAGACATTTTGTTAATTGTAATTAAATACAAAATAAGTCAAGTCTAATACCTGAGAAAAGGATAAATAATAACACTTAGCATTACTGTGATTATTTCAGATGGGAATTTATCTCAAGACGACCAGAATATTAAGTGTTGATCATAATGCTTACAAATGAGAGCACAGCCACTAAATTATCCGGTCCTTGAGTGTTAATTACGAGGTAGAGATGTAATACTTTATCTTTTAATTTAGAGATAATGAACCTGTAATGCAATTCAAATGACAACTGTGCTTAATTTCCATGCCTGTCTTCCCACATGCAGCATTGTTTTTATTCTTCCAGTGGAAATCTGACTAAGATGGCTTTACTATAATGGTACTGTGACTTATTTTCTCGCTATTTACTAAGTTTTCATGCGTGAGCATGTTGTATGTTACATAGTGTGTCAGAATAAAAGGTACATCTTTTGTCAAACCTCTTCAAATCTCAGCTATGGTACAGTGTGATGTATCACCTCATTTGAACAGCTTCCATCTCTACTTTTCACAACACTGGGTTATTACTGACAAGAAATCATAAATTGACCTGATCATCTCTCTAGGTGTTACAGATTGCACTGGACTGGAAATGCAAGTTCAGAAAGCAACGGCGTACTTTGGCTTGGATCTTACTTGAAAATGTTATTTTTGGGGTGAAACTTGTAGTATGTGTGCATCCATTGAGGTTTTTTTCTTGTACTGAATAAAAACGACATTTCTTTAACTCAACTTCCTCGTCTCCTTTCTTATACTTTACATTTCTTCTCCTACTACACCTCAAATGAAAATATTTTACTTTTTACCCTTCTAGCTTACATTTTTCCCCAGCTGTAACATTATCATTCATATTTAACATTATTAAAGATGATCTGATTCTGCTCAATGAATATGTTTTATTGTTATATATGAAACTAACGTATAATATATTGTTGTATGATACAAGAAAAAATTGCTCCACCATCAATCAGCTGCAAAATTAAATTCTGCTTATACATAATGCACCATTAGTAACAATAATATTATTTTATGAGTAATAATACTAAAGACGCAATTGCCCATTAACCCCCTTGTAAGTACATAGCCTATAGCTGATTATAGGCAGTGGTGTAAAGTAACTCAGCAGATTTTCACAAGTTATGTACTTAAGTACAAATGTGATGTAAAGCATGTAATTGTACTCCACTACATGTATTTAATAGCTTTAGTTACTTTACAGATTTGGATTAATGATCAACTCTTAAATCAGACTTTAGTTCCACCTGGAGTAAATTCACAAGCTACCCTGCAGTATACAAAGTCATTCAAACTAGCTGCACCTTTACCAACTTTGATAACACAAGATCTGATTAAAGGCCAACTTATATAGTATTTTCTTCAGTATTATTTTAAATGTAATACTTTTTTTCCTTGCTTTAAATTATTTTTACTGGAAAATGTTTTTTCCACTCTTGGTAATATCATAATAAAGCCCTGGTTTGACTGTATTTGAATATGTTTGGCTCTGTGATCTACCTTCAGGTGATTGATTAGTATGGTCTGGAAAAAGCTCTGTTTTGATTAGCCGTCCTGTTGTTTGTATTGCTACTCGGTAAACGGAAGCTACACGGAACAAAAATGTATTTGAATAGTTTGAACGTTACTTTAATTCCGTTACTTGCGTTGTGTTTTATTTAATTTCTGACACACGGACATACGGGCTACATGAACGTGGAACCTCGCCTTGTTTACACGGCAGCATATGGTTAGGTTCTTTAATGATGGAGTCCCAATGCGAGTACTTCATGTATTTCCCTGCCGCTCCAATATCCACTCTGTCAGACCCGGCGGAGTACACTACTCTCCCACGGAGAAAGCACGTCTACCTCGGGGAGGTAGTGCAGTTCCTGCTGGTCCTGCGGTCCCGGAAGGCGGCGGGGAAGGATGACAGCTCCGGGGTTTTACCGTGGAAGGAGATGGTGAGTTCACTGTCAGCTCAGGCGAGTGTGTGCGTCGCAGAGAGCCGTGTGCAGAGACCCAGCGAGTACCAGCCCGACATCCAGAGCACCTGCAGCGGGGACAGCGGGGAAGAGGAGCCCGGGGAGGAGAGGGAGACTGGAGGAAAGAGACCGGACAGTACCCGGACCTTCATACAGTGCACCCCGCATCTCACTCACAACAGCTCGGCCAGAGATGGGCGACAGTGTGGGAAGGAACCGGTGCAGGTAAGAAGGGAAAAGTAGAATAAAGAAAGTGTGAATATAGGGGAATTACTGTTATCAAAGTAGTTAACACTGACTGTTAATATGATGGAGAGAACGACTTGATAACTTCCTTTAACATTGAACTAATTGCTTCTCAGTATACTCCCGTACCTTCAATGTAACAGGAAGTCACCTTTACTTATTTCCAGTGGTGAAAAGTAAGTACATTTACTCATGTACTGTACTTGAGTACAATTTTGAGATAGTTGTACTTTGCAGAGTATTTAAATAGTTTGCTTCTTTTTACTTTTACTCCACTACAATTCAGAGGTAAATAGTTTACTTTTACTCCACTACATTTATTATGTAATATATATTATGTAGTATATATTTCTACATAAAAAGGACACCTGGATAACTTACCTAACTCTTTACTTCCCATAGAAACCCACTCTCATACCTTCAGTGTAACAGGAAGTAACCTATACCTATTTACTGAATTAAGGGGAAAGTCATTTATACCCTGACCTTTATTGTTCTGCTTGATTTCATGAGACAAAGCAGCCAGTTATTTCTGTCTGTTGCAATAATCATTGTGCTTCAGATGTGTTGAGACCTGACAGTGAAGTCATGTCTCCAGGGGCTTTAAACCAGCTTCAGTCTCTACCTGTGTGCCTGCTAGGCTGAAGACAGGGACGTATACGACATACACAACCTGTGAACCACAGTAATGGCTCAGACAAAAATGTGAACATTTGCGGTCCATTTCTATAGGTACTCTCAAAAACTGGGCATATTCTGGTCTAAAATGTGCCTGTTGCCTTACTCTTCATCTTAAAAACTAAAACAGTCTTATATTTGAGCCTTTTTTCACAACATTAACACCTTTATTTCTGTTCTCAATAAAAAAAAAAAAGACCTATTTTCACTTGTCAGGGCAGAATCTTGTGTTTATACAAAACAGAGCATTTGGCATATCATATGGTGTTCAATTACAGTAGAGAGGTTATGGTAGAACAGCATCCCTTTATTTATACTGTATGGCCTATCATTGTAGTCCCACTAAAACGTAGTTGAACTTCTAGTTGTTTGTTAATGAATAATGTGCTAATTTATTTCACAAATTGTCATTTCCTACACCTCCAACATCTTGTCCTCTGCAGTCCGCTCTGGTTTTGGATGACCAGGTTGTCTTCTCTCTCACCGTCTCTTTGGACAAGCTGCCAGCCAACACGCTTAAAGCCAAGGTGAGATGCACAAATACTGGGACGACATGACAGTAGGGTTAGGAGGGTTACTTAAAAATTTAACCCGTTATAATAACTAGTACCGGTAAAAAAAGGTAATCATTGACCTAATCTAAGTATCACAATTTAAAAGTAATGATACCTGATTGCTTTCTGTTACCTTTGGATTACCTCAATATCAAATGCAATGCAGATAAAAATAAGAGAAAATAAATATCAATAAGATGTTTTTAACTTAAGTGTATTGAAGATAATACACAGAAGTTAACAGAACAATTTGACCTTAGAAAAGAAGAAACCAAGATATTTAGGATAAAAGATGTCATCTCATATTTTAAGATAGAAAAGTATAGTATACAAATGCTGTTTTAGTTTAACACATGAATTAAAAGCAAACATATTAAGTTTGTTCAATAAATCAGGTGTCCTGCTACTGAATTAAAAAACATTTTTAAAGAATAAAAAGTAGACTAACTGAAAAGCAAAAAGAAAATTCAGACAGTACGTCTGCCTATAATATATCATTATTTATTATAAAGCGCATTATACAATTGTAATGATGCTAATAATCCCCATTTTAAAAAAAAAAAAAAAAAAAAAAAGTACCAGTAATCTGATTACATATTTGTGTATGTAACAGTAAGGGAATACAGTTATGTTTAGTTTGTAACCTGATAACGTAACCCTGTACATATTATCCGTGACTCCCGTAGCCTGCGTGGGAGGATATATATTTGTGAATCAGGCTGGTTTTTAAACAAAGACCATCTTAGACTAACTTATTATGAAGCCAATGAATATAAACAGCACATATATAACTTTTACTTTGTGTTTTTGTCAGATCGTAGTGACTGTGTGGTGTCATGAGGATGAGAAAGTGGAGGTGAGGGAACATGGCTACCTGACCCTTCTACAGCTCAAGAGCCCACTACACACCTTCAGACAGGACCTCAGCACCTTCAAGGCGCAGGGTAAACACACCAGACCTGAGCTCTGCAACTCAAAGAGTTCTGTGGTCTTAAACTTGGGACTTTTCATTCTGAGGAATGGCATACTAAATGTGCTTGTTTGTTTTTTCTGTTTCTTATTTCCATTCCCAGTCAGTACCATTATGAATGTTCTACCACCTCCCAGTGTGCAGTGTCAGCACATGGCTGTCTCTGGAAAACACCTGACTCTCCTTAAAGGTAGACAACTATCACACACTCACACACACATACAGACCTTCGAAGACACCACCTGTGATAACTCTTCTCCCCCCCTCTCTCTACAGTGTTGAACTGCAGCTCTCAGGATGAGGTGTGTGTCAGAGATGTGAAGATCGTTCCCAACTATAACTCCTCCTACCTCCCCATGATGCCAGATGGTTCAGTTCTCATAGTGGACAATGTCTGGTGAGTACATGTGCACTTACTGTATACTCTAGGATAAACACACATATGTCCATACCCCTACACTGTTGCTCTTCCTGAGATACGGATTGTTAAAGAGGACATGTCCTGCTCATTTGCAGGTTCAGTGTCTCTACTGTGACATGTCTGCATGCTTTAATGTTCAAAAAGCTCTTCATTTCTCTGCAGCACCTCTTCTCACCCTCTGTCTGAAACCAGAGCCCAGTCTGCTCTGATTGGTTAGCTGGCCGGCTATGTTGTTATGGGTCAGGCGCTTAGAGATGTCACTCCTCTTAGCCTATCATGTACAATGTGTTGGAGCGCTAGACGATAGAAGAGTGAGTGTTACATAGTGATGAAAAACATGTTTTACACATGTTTTATATACATAAAACATGCTTTTTTTAAATTATTATTTTAAGAAATGATTTGGTTAAAAAGAATACATAACAAAAGGAACTTTTGAATTCATTAAGTAACTATATAACAATCAACAAATCATAAAAAGAAAAAAACGGATAACCTAAAGTATATAGTTGACATTAAAACTCAATTGTCACTTAATTGTCACATCTTGGTCATTAGCATATAGCATGTTGTCATATAGCAATCTATTTATGAAAACTGTCATACTCTAGTATTAAGTCCAAGTCACTATATGCATGAAATCGGTGTAAAAAAGGTTGACTTTCTATATGCAATAACATCAGATGGATCTTAATTTGCATTTTTATCAGTGACATACTCTGAGACATCCAACATCATAGCACTACTGTTGGTGCAATCTGAGTGAAATCATCTGTATAAACACACTTACAGCCCTAATCTTGAGTGTATTGTGCACAGGTTTACAGCAGCTAATGCACTAGTAAGGCTCAGCAAAGGAGGACATTTAAAAAAAAATAAAAAATACATCCATAGAAACTCTCCAAATTCCTGCTGCAGCTGTGTCCACTTCCCCTCTTTCCATATTTCTGAACCTCTGCCATGAACATATTGAGTTATTTATTTATTGGCGTCAATATGCTTTTTGCATGAGGCCCACAGAGTAAAGTTAAGCTTGATTTGAGCTGTCGTACAGAAACTATAAGGTCTTCTACTTGGAAACTGAACAATTTGATTGCTGATTAACTTAAATAAAACGTTCACTTTCGTAACCAACTTAGCCTCAGTTTTAATAAGAATATGTTGTCATGCTAACATGTTAAACTAATATAGTGAACATGGTTAACGTTATAACATGCAAAGAATCAGGAGCTGTGTTTTGTGTTGTTTAAAGTCGCCTAACAACCCCTTCTTTATTTCCACTTCCCGCTAAAGCCACCAATCAGCTGAGGTCACCGTGGCTTCATTCTGTCGGATAGATAGCGGGTCATCGCGTTTACCCAGCATGCTCAGTGCCCTTGAAGAACAGACCTTCCTGTTCCAGCTGCAGCTACAAGACACAGCAGAGGAGTACTCTAGTGAGGTGAGAAAATGATGGAGGCAGCTTCTTCCTGGTCAACTTTAATAAAAGTTTTACAATGATCATTTTTCACACATCTCAGAAAGCTTGATATGAAGTCCTTTGTCAATCTCTTTTTATTGAAAGCAACAAAAGAAAACACTTGTACTCAAAGATATTTCCTTTAATACACTCACTATACATTCATCTTCTATTTTAATTTGGTAAATCTATTTTTGTACCTTAAAATATTTGTCCTGATATATAATATGTGTTTCACAAGAGATTTGAAGAATAAAAATATATCGAGTTTCAACTTTTCCACTTTAGGGCCAAGTTATCTCTTCTCTTCTTTATTACATTAGATTTAGCTGACCCCCTTTTCCAAAGCAACATATAATAAGTGCAATCAATCCTTCGCGGGACAACATTTAAAACAGCAAGAACCTGTTAGTACATTAGTTGTCAATAAGCCAAACCATTGTCATTTCTACATACAGAAGAGAGAAGTGTCTTTTTTTGGCCAAGCCACAAGAAACAATGCAAAAATAGCAAAAGTGCCTGTCACACAAGGAAGTAGTGTAAACAGCATACTGTAGTGTAGGGACTATTTTCATTGGCGGATTTATCAACATTTTTGCTCTAATGAGTATGTTTGGCATCAGGACGTAGTGTGAGGGATTTAGTCAAAGATAAGCTAGTGTTTGTTCATGCTAATGCTAACCATGTCACCCAGTGCAACAGTGTGGCTCATTTATGTGTTTTGAACTGTTGTTGTTCTTAATATGTCTTCATATATTTATTGTATGTATTTCTCTAGGGTTTGGAAGTCCCGCTGGTGGCTGTGTTACAGTGGTTTACTCCAACACTCCCTTTAACAAGGTAACTGTTTGTCTTAGACCCCGTTTACGATACGGTTTGTATCCGCATAGTTTCTCTTGCGTATAGCCCTTTCGTTTACACGAGGCCGTAACAAAAAGATAGAAACGTCGCAAACGATAACGTCCCAAGGTGGATAGATCTGCAAACGGAACGCTCTGGGGGGCCAAACGGCTCTGTGTGTACGCCCTATGCGATAATTTCCTGATAATGATGAAATAGCCCCGCCTCCCTCTCCCCACGTCTCCTGCTCAGAGATCAGCTGCTGGGCTCTCAGAAGAGGGGGAGGAAAAGAGAGGCTCCGTTTATTATTCTTATATTATTCTTTATCAATTTGTTTTAAAGCTCAATAAATAACAAAGAAGACCTCTGACCTGCACTTTGCTAATTTTGTCCGGAAGATTTAAACTTTAACGGACATGTTGACTCCCCCTTTGGTCCCCTCGTCCCTTGGAAGAGGCGGAGAGGTGGGTGTTTTTCATCTGCTGGTGGACTACCGGAGAGATTTACAGCAGGAGCACACGCCTTCCACCGCAGAGAATAAACAGAAGGGCAACCATGGCAACCATGCTGCGGGGTCTTCTTCGCTGCTTTTGGTGTATTTTGTGGCGGCAGCAGCGCCACTTACAGGCCCGGCATATGTACTACAGCGTTTCCAGTGTTTCCAGCGGTCTCGTGTGAACGGACACGTTAATTGAGCCGAATGCGTGTGAACGGAATACTTTTTTGAAAACGCATACGGTGCGAAAACGCAAACGTTCCCGTGTAAATGGGGTCTTAGTTCAACATTTACTTAGAGTCGCTTAGCAGAATGTATTACAGTGAAAACAATGTGGTACAGTATGGAAATCAAGGGTTTAAAGAGATAGTTCTGATTGTTTGAAGTTGGGTTATATGAGGTACATGTCAATAGGCCATGGCAACCACGGTGCATTCTGGGGGGTTAATGCCATCTTTGGAAGATCGCGTCTATAGCAGCAGCAGCCGTCAATATAAATCAACGTTTCATGGTTATCTGTCAGCTTTTTGCATCGGAAATGTATAAAGTATGTGCCAAATATAAATGCCCTTACAAAGAGAAGGCAGAAACTGAGAAGGGTTATTTAAAATAAAAAGTTAATTAATGATCTGTCCGTATTAATCAAGAGAAAAACTGACCTATCACTGTTCCCATATTTACTGTTTTAAATCTTATTCCCAGTTCCCAGCATAGTGGTCTGTGTTCCTCTAGTTCAGCAGATGGCTGCCATCAGACTTAATTTAGCGTCATTGTTGATGTTTGCTACTTCTCCTTTCTTTCCCTGTTAGTTTAAATTATAAAATGTTATCCCATGGTTCTTTTTTGTTTGGTTTATTTGTCATAGGAGTGGCAGTGACATAACAGTGCCTACGGACCATGTTTAAAAAGTTTAAAGAGGAAAAGGAATGCTACTCTGCTCGCTGTACGGGTTCAGTCAACAGCTGCAGACCAGAAACTTGTACATTCTGCAAGGCATTATGAACGTTTTTATCAATGGAGTCTGGTGGCTCGGCCAGGACATAGTTTTGGATAACACACATTCTTTCTGTCAGAAAGGGCTGTCTACAGGAGCAGTTTACCTTCTACAACCTAACTTGTAAATATTAAAACTATCATTAATCATTCATTTCATGGACATGTCAAAGCAGGAAAAATACAGACTGGATTACAGCTGTCCTATGACAGGCCAGATATCTAACATAAATACATGTCTATTGAAGTTGAAATGAAAATATGAGTTTGCTTTCTCTACAGATACATCTCTAGTTGTTACTCGTTGCCTAGCATCCGCCTGGATCGCCCTCGCCTGGTGATGACAGCTTCCTGTCCCAGGGCGGTCCGGCCTCTGGAGCACTTCTGGGTCAAATACACCCTGCTCAACAACCTGCAGGACTTCCTGGCTGTCCGTCTGATCTGGAATGCTGACGGTGAGTAGCAGATCTCACACGGGACAATCTTGACTCCAACCAAAAGACCTGTCCCACCTGGCTTAGTGCTGGTTAGTGATACACAGCAGTTTGCACAACAACACCTGAAGCCGCCATTGTGTCGTTGCTTTAGTTTTCATTCAATTTGAATTGTTGTAGTAATACAACCCTTTTTGATTACTTGACAATAGAGAATGGCAATGTGACGTCATCAACAGCAAGCCTTCCATCTTTAGAGGATACGAGCGACCGCAACCTGTTAACTTAACCTGTACAGCGAGCGGAGTAGCTGTAACTTAGTCACTTTAAACGTTTTACATGGTCGGTAGGCACTTTTATGTCATGAGGTGGGCCTCTGGATATTTGATATTTTTTAATTGCTGACAGGTGACTCCAAACACCACAGAGGGCTGACATTTGTAACAGTAATTGTTCTTCTCTTAATTCATACAGACAGATGTCAGTAATTAACTCTCTTTTTTAATAACGCTCCTCTGTCTCCGGCCAGAGCTTCTCTTTGTGAGGGCATTCATATTTCGCACATACTTTATTTGTTTACAAAGCAAAACTGCTGACAGATGACGGCGAACTGCTGAATTATATTGACGGTTGCTGCTGTTGCTATAGACGCTATCCTACAAAGATGGCAACGGCCCAGAATGCACCGCTGTTCCCATTCCCTATTTGCGAAACAAAATATAAAGCCAACAATGGTTCAGGCACTTGTATTACAATGGAGATCTGTTCATTACATACTTACCACAGGCTGTTTACATTAGTGAAGGGTAAAGTGAGACATCCTGATCTAGCTGTGATCATGACTGGGTCAACGTCCAGATGTGTAATCTTCACTACAGTCAGCGTGAAAAAAGAAAAGGTTGCACCCTGTGAGATGTGTTGGATGGGTGTGTCGGGGTTAAAACCAGCTGTGATGAATTCCAACTGTACAGACGGGTCTAATGTATGTTGGTTAGGTAGGGTTGTATTACTACAATGATATCTGAGTAAACAGCGATTTCATTATCATACAGTGTACATTTGCTTATCTAAGGTGCAAAACTGACCTAAGTGAGGTTTTTTTTATATCGTATGAACAGACTGTTTTCCATTGTGCAACCCTGTGTTGCACTCAAGTAAAGTACAATGTTCTTCCCACCTCTGTATGTTATATAAGTGTTACAAAGAGAGAACAGTACATAATTAATATTTAATATGCTCTATACAAAGTTTTAATCAAACTTACAGTGAGTCAACAAGTTATTTTTATATTAATCTGATATTATTTGTCCCTCCTCTCATCAGCTGCTCTTGGAGGCCAGCAGCACCATGGTGGGGGGGCGGTGGTGTGCCAGTCTCCCCTCAACAACCTGGGTCAGTGCAGGAAGGGCTCCACCCTCTCCTTTACCGTGGCCTTCCAGATCCTCCGCACCGGACTCTTCGAGGTACTGTTGCTGCTCATACATTAGTTAGTTCATTCAGTGATTTTTAACGCAGGAAAATGTCCCAAAAAATATTATTTACTTTCTAAAATAATTTTCAATTGTTGAGCGCTGTGCCTGCGCCGGCAAAGTAATCAAATACTTAGACGTCTTCTCCAAACGAAACACCAGCCATTTCAAAAGAAGAACATGGCTTATTTGGTGCGCCTGTGTAAACAAACCGGGAAACAGGCAACTTTTATGAGAAAAACTACTAAAGTTTCAGAGATACGGATATCAGGATATCAGCTTTGTGTTCATCTAAAAAGGCCCAGGTATCACACTGAGTGAGTATCAACATATTGAGAGACTTTTCATTCCAATGTCATTATAAACGCTCAGGCTACAATGTAGAACATTTACAGCTGATTTACAAGGTAGAAAAACACTGCGTTCATTTACCCAATCAGCAGTGATACTCAAAGTGCTCTCCCATCCTCCCCCCCCCTCTCTGTAGCTGAGCCAGCACATGAAGCTGAAGCTGCAGTTCACAGCCTCGGTGTCCACCCCCCCGGTGGAGCCTCGCTCTCCCTCATCATCCAGCCCGGGGGTCCGAGAGCTGCTGGAGAGACAGAGCCTGGGCCGCTCTCACAGCTTCTCCCACCAGCAGCCCTCCAGAGCCCACCACGTCAGGTACGGACCGATAATAACTCTAACTTGCATATCTAAATTAGCACAAGGGAAAATAATAATAAAATGACATGGCTGATGTGGAAGACTTTGGGGTGGTTTTAGGGGTTATTGAGGATTCTGAATTGATGATTGATGATTTAGATTCATTTTGGGTTGATTACTTAGTTAGGTTAAATACTACAACTTGTGTTAAAATGAGCCCACCAAGTTAAAAAGTAACTCACAAAACCAGTCCAAATCGGCCACTTTTTAACGATTGTCCACATACTTATTTATGCTAAATAACCAGGGGTGCACATAGCTGGTACGCAGGTACACATGCGCGGCAACAATCTGAAATGCGTACCGTCACTTGTGTCACAAAGCGCATTTGCGTACCGACGTACTTGTGAAGCTTTTCCAGAAGGCAGTTAGATCACCGGACGACAGAGTCGGTCTCCGTGTGCACAGACAGAGCTGCTGTTAACGTCGGTCTGTACAACGGAATTGTGCCAAAACTACGCCAACCGGCTGCGGAGGGAGACTACCCCCCTTCACCGGAGAACTGCGCTAAAACAACAACTGATCACAACGGTCACGCTCTGTGGTCACCCCGTCGAAATAACTTTGAGTAGAGCCAGAAGTTGGAGTACCAAACACTGACTCCAGGTACTCATCTGAGTACCTCACTGAGAAAGTTATGTGCACCCCTGGCTATAATGCTCCATATATACTCCATACTTCACTCCAGAGGACTCCAAGGAAAACATGCACGTATCACAAGTCAGACCTCCCAATACATTTGATTTCTTATTGAACTGTGTTGTATTTTCAAAAGGCCTCTCAGTTTTAAACATATCCTCCAGCATCAGTGGATATGTACAATTCAAAGACCGATGAGTTGATGGTCCTCTGATGTGACATATACCCCTGAACTAAGGGCACTTCTGGGCCTTATCTTTTAATATTCTCAAGATGCAGTTTAAAATGCTGGTGGATGTAACATAATTAAATAGCTTGCTGACACTAAACTAAATGCTGACTGAAACTGAAACCTAACCGTAATACTCACCGATGCTATTGTGCTTTCACATAAACCACACTAATGGACTTATTTAATGATTTCAGCTCAGCCACAAAATCCAGATGTGAAATATTTTTAAGTCAATGTGGGTAAGGTCTCAGTCAGACAGAGAAGTTTTAAAATCACTGCTCCGTAAAGCTATATACACTTTAATACTAGAAACATTCATATTCCTGGTATTTTTTTTTTCTTTCCTTTTTTGCCATTTAAATTTCAGATTTTAACAGTGTACAAACTGTGTAAGAAGAACCCTCATGAAGACTTTAGATATGTCATACTTGATAGTAAAGTAACTTTAGAGGGGAAATTCCAGTAAGTGACTTCACAGTTCTCGTATCTTGGAGAATATTAATCTTGCATGAGCAACATCAAATTGCAGTTTGGGATCTTCTGTTATCCATGTTTAAATGCCAACAAGACAAACTGTAGTTTATGAATGAGTAATGTTCAGGAAAGTGATATTTGGCCTGGAGCACTTGCACACAGCACTGCAGGGAACAAGACTCGCAAACTCACAAAATATTAAAATCATAAAACATGTAAAAGTGGATGTTGTTTTTTTCCTAACGTCATGAAAATGATCTTTGAATGAACAATATTTGGTGGTTACATTTTCAGATTCAGATTCCTGAATCTTCATGCAGAATATACATTTTTGAAGAAAACAGAGTTACAGTATATATGTTGTAACGTAGCACGTTGTATTGCACAACCTCCCACCCTTGTCAACTTGTGTACCCTTAAGAGAAAACAGTGTCTTGTTTCACACATAATTTGTACTGTTCATGTCCAATTCAACCAAAAAAAGGCGAAAGTCTCGAAAATGAAACATTATTTGATGCAGAAATGTGGGTTTTCGTATTTTTGTCTCTTGAACCCATGTGGGATCCCCACCCGGATTGGGAAACACTGTCTATTGCAGTGAAACTTAAAATAAGGCTGTTTAAAGTAAAGAAACGATACAGTAAAATGCCGCATAGCTTCTGTATTTCTACACTGTTCAACCCTTACATGTACGTGTTCATGATTGACATGTGGGTTGTTAAATATTTCAGCATTAGCTATATGCTTTCCTATAAAACATTCACTTTAATCAATTTAAAACGAGACGTTAGCAGCCATTGCATCTTGAATGGTGAATGAATGATTTATCCATTTCTATCACAGAAAGCCTTGGTATTTTTTCAGCATGTTATCCCGTCAGCAGCTTGGGGAATATTTTTCTAAGTGAACATACAGTATATCTATAGAATAAGATATGGCCTATGCTCTGATGATCAAAACCTGCTATTCCAAGTAAAGCCTCCGAGATGTGTCATTCAGTCTGAGCCTGGCTACAGGATTCAAGAGACAGAATCACATTTATTCCATCAACGTGGCAAATATATTCGAATCAGACTGTAAGGAGACATATAATTCAAGTAAAACGGTTGCATTTTATTTGTAAATTTTCACAGGAGATTGCCTTAACTTCGGTGACCTTCAAATTAAAAAAAGTCAGCTGCTTTGGGAATCCACAGTCACATACAACCAGTCAGTCTTGCAGTCAACAATTCAATAAATATATTGCATATTAAAAGTTTGACAAAGAAATTACGCTAAAACCATAGGCAACATAAAACATAAAACTAAAAGAGAGCAGCATTAGCTTAACTAAGAGGCCTTGTTTTTACTGTGATGAATGATATATTGGAATTCATGCCATACATTTTGAAAGAGTTCAATAAGTTAAATAGGCTCATCCCAAGAACTAATTTGAGGTTTTATATGAAGTGAAAACATTAAAATCATTAAAAAATGTAATCAGGCAGTTTCTGCACAGCTAAACCAATCCACTGCACACATATCATGGAAATGGATTCCAGGCGCTTTGATATCATATAATCTTTCATTACATTTCCAAAATGAAAGCAAGCAATTGCCTTTTAAGCCCGGCAGCTGATTGTTAATAGAAATTAAAGGTGAAATGTGAGCTGGAAAGTAAAAAATATGAAACTCTCCTTCAGCAGAGAGGTAATTCTTTTAAACTGCCTGAGACACCATTTTTTATTTCATGAGTTCAAAACATGCAAGCACCTGAAGGGTCTATCATAAGAAAATAAATAATTGGAGATCCTGGGGATGTGAGAGCAAACAAAGAAATAGATGCTGGGTGTTTGATCGTTTTGTAGATTGACTCCTCTTGTTTTATCTGACCGGTTAGTTAAGACATGAAACAGAAGCTGACCTTTGCAAAACACTCTTCAACCACTCTGTGTACAAACCATTTGGGAATGTATAACCAATGTATTATAGTAGTGTGCACAGACAATCAATATATTCATGTTTTCCACTCTACACATGTTGCTGCCCAGTCAATTCTGCGCAGATGCACATGCAAGGTTATTTTATTTAGCAAAAATGATCAATGAAGTTTCTGTTTTCAAATGCAATCTGGTTTAGTTCTGGGACATAATGCTTTTAAATAAAAAACAAAACAACAAGAAGACATGTTTCATACATGATGAGTGGAATGTATTTATTTGTATTGTTCTCAATAAATTAGCTCCATGACTAAACTGAATAAGACAGTATATTATAGGTGTCACACATTTATTTCTTGACAAATTGATTAACCCCTAATATGGGCAATAACCTGTAAATATTTAGGAAATTAATTGATTTTTACTATTTTCTACATTACAGTCATCTTACACTGTTATTACACCTTACATGGCTTAGTTGAATACTCAATTCTGATTGGTCAATTCAGAACACGTGACACGTGTTATTATTCCAGTAGTACAGACAGCTGTCAAGGACTTATTTTCCGTTGTTAAGGACGCTCACATCTGCAGAAAGAAGTCCGGTCGATTTAACTGTACAGTTTGGTTTCAAACTGTTAGCTTGTCTTTAGTTTTCCGTTGTCTACCGTCTGAGAGCAACATGGAGGATTTTAATATTAATTTTAATATATTTGGAGAGCACAGTAATTTTGATGAATGGTTAGTGGCTGTTGAGTCCCCAGTGAAGAAAAGAAAAAGAAAAGAGGGACAAGAAATAAGTGGAGAAGTAAGAGAGGCGAAAAGACTGACAATATTATGGGCTATGAAACTATTGAAAGACTGGCTGATTGAAAAAATAAGAATCCATTAATAAAAAGGTGTTATTAACTTTCTAGGATTGACTTATTGTTATAGCACTACCTTGAACACATGCAAAATATCAGAACATACTCTGCAATAAATTAAGGTGTATTTCATAGAGAAAAAACAGTCATGTTTCCAGGTTTTAATCATGTTCATTTTTTTTACATGCATCATTGAAAAACCTGCTTATCCATATCCCTGCATACAGTATATGCTTCTAATATTAACTAGACCTCTGATCATCTGAACAGGCTTCTCTTTGACTCCTCCGCATCTAGAAAATGTCATATCTCTACAGAATGAATTCAACAGTCGAGGATGAGCCCACACTGGTCTCTGGTTGCAAGGACTGCTTCACTTACAACTCTGCAGGATTTAGCGGCAATGTATTTCATTCGTCAGACTTTTCCTTTCATTTTGGTATGTAATAAAATATTTCTCTTTTAAGTATGAAATAATTAGCCTTTTCAACTACAGTAAAAGTGAAGGAGGAAACTGCACCCAATGGCAGCGACTCGACAGAACAATAAGTCCTTATTCAAGTTTCCAAAAACAGGATCTAATGTTTAAAGGAATAATACAAAAACAGCATACTATAACAAACATAAAAAACACTGATGACCATCTCTAGTTTTAAATTCTGGCCATGACATGCTCTTGACAGGTCGTTACATTCTCTGTTAATGTCATTTGTAACTCATAAAATGTAAATTGATTGTCATTATATTGCAGTTATGCCACCACTAATTGCCACTCATGACTTCAGTAACTCAAGACAAACACTATAAATCTGTAATTCTGTGGGGTGT